CAACTTTCTTAATTAAAGTGGGGCTTAATGTATTATGGGAACATTAAAAAGAGGCTAATTCAGTCAGTTAACTAACTCCAAGACTACACTTAGCCTAAATCAGTTCCACTGCTGTATAAGGATAAACTTCTTCCTATCAATTGCCTTGGTGTGGAACACCAAATCCTAGTCAAGTGCCCTATTTTGCACAACTACCCCATGAAGCGTGGGAAAGCATGTGCCCCTGAAAAAGCTAACCTCTTCCTCACAGAAGACACCATAAATGTTTTCAGCACACAGTATTCCTTCCAAACACTCTGAAGTGCTCGAGCCTCCCTCTTTGCTGCATCTCTAGGCAAAGAGAAGGGGATACAGCTTTGCCAGTACCCTTTGGGGTCATGTCTCGAAGTCCCAAGCACTTCCTAAAGGCACAGGGTGGGATTCTACTCTTCTCAGATATGACTGTTTGCTATGAGAATCCACCAACAAACTTATGGGGAAAGGGTCAACTGTCAATTAGGTTTCATCCACACCAGGTTTAACTAGCCAGCTAATCACAAAACTGTCAATACTTTCTCAAATGCTTTTCTGAAATCAGTGTATTATGTTTACATTATTCTTGCAGTCTATTTAACTCCCCCCCCCCCACACACACACATTAATGGCAGTGTGGCACAACATATTCTTGACAAATGCATGCTAACTTTTGATGGTGCTTGTTTTCAAATTACTTTCTTTGATCCTCTTATGAACTTATGAAAAATGAGGACCCGGATTGTGGGGGCAATAAGCTGACTTTGTATAAAAAGAAATCTACTTGAGGGAGGGGGTGAAAGCCCTACTAAGCAGGTATATACAAAAATATGAAGGCTGTTGCTTAACGCATTGTAAGCCGCCCTGAGTCTCCGGAGAAGGGCGGCATATAAATTGAACCAATAAATAAATAAATAAATAAATAAATAAATAAATAAATAAATAAATAAATAAACAAACAAACAAACAAACAAACAAACTCCTCTAATTTTTTTGGGGTGTCAAGATTCAATTTGATCTGTCTTTTAATCCTTCCTCCTGACACTTTTTTTATGATAGAGACAACATTTAACCTTCTGCAGAAATCAAATATTTGACCCATTCTTCAGGATTTTTCCAAAATAAATATATTTCAATCATTCAGGTCATAGTTATCCTAAGGGTGCTTTTTCCAAAGGCAACTGGACTTGGGTTTTTTTTTCCTTTGAAAACATTTTACTTCTCATCCAAGAAGCTTCTTCAGTTCTTGGATGAGAAACAAAACATTTTCAAAGGAAAAAAAAAAAAAAAAAGAAAACCCAGTTGCCTTTTGTTTTGGAAGTTTTTGGAAAACTTCCAAATATGAACTTTCCACCCACAGATTAAAGTGGAGAATTCAATAAAACATAGTTACTACCTGTTTTAACTGAAAAGGATAAACTGACTCTTCAAGTCAGCATCATTGAGCCTCGTACTTCAAGATCAGTTGACAGCCAGTCTCATCATCAATCAGATGGACTGAGACCAGTGGTGGGTTGCCACTGGTTCGGACCAGTTCGCAAGAACCGGTAGTAAAACCGGCGGGAGGCTCCACCTACTGACTCAGACGTCATCAGGAAGCTTCTGCGCATGCACAGAAGCGCATGGCCCCATTGCGAACCTATAGTAAAGGCAAGTAGAACCCACCCCTGACTGAGACCCCAACATCTCTAGTAGGCATAATGTGGGGACTTGGTGGCATTAGCCATCACAGTTATAAGGACTGAATTTTTGCTAAAGAGGGGTATGCCCTGCCATCCTAAACGGGTTCACTTAAATGGAAATTCCCACATATAGGTCTGCAATCTTACAAACAGGATTTCAGGCTCTTTTGGCCTTATGTCACATGTAAGTTGATAAATAAAGGTTACAGGCTTTCAATGTTAAGTTAAAGAACAGACAAGCCTCTTGGACTAATTCAGACAAAAGTGAGGGGTAAATTTTAGTCTGGATGCACATTACTGGACAATGACTGGATCATTCCAACTGGCAATTATACTGATTTAAATTTTCAGATTGAAATTTTGTATCTAGGTTTCTTTTTGGATTCTGCCTTTAGCCTAGTTTAGAAAGGAAGAAACAAAACTGATGTATAACTCAGCTTTCCTGAATCTGATGCCCTCTTGCTATGTTGAACCCCATCTCCCGTAATCCATCAACTAGCATGCTCAATGGTGGATGAACTGGGGAATTATAAGAATTTAAATCCAACATCTCTAGAGGAAGTTGGGCAAGGCGGATAAAACTTCTCAGAAATGTTATCGCGGAAATGCCATTCATATTAAATGTGCCCTTCTTCTTACAAAATGCCAAAATAAAATTTCTCCAAACAGGGGAAAATTGAGTTGGTGTCTTTTGTGTTCTTATCAGTTTTGTGGTTTTATAAAAAGCTGCACAACAGCTTCAGAATTGTTTAAGAATCACTGAAGAGTGTCAGGCTTATTCTGAAGACTACATACTCACAAACTGTCGCTTCTCTCCCACAGAAACCAGTGTGGCTTAGCAAGCTTCAGAGCTGCTTGGATCTCTCTCTCTTCCTCCATTAAATCAAGACCTCCCATTATAGCATGTCAAGTGAACTGCAGTGAGAAATTTACTCGCTTCCCCTTAGAAGTTAAGTGAACTGCAGCAGGAAGGTCATTCACTTCCCATGGATGTTTAGGGCAAAACGGCCATTAACTTGAATGGGTGATCAAATACAGGTACCGGTTTGGCTTACCATTAGCACAAGGACTGGAGCTGCAATAGTCGATTTTCTTTTCGCAGTTAAATCCAGAGTAACCCACAGGGCAACGACAACTATATCCACCTTCAGGATTGTCTGTACATCGTCCTCCATTGAAGCAAGGCCCATCGGCACAAGTCATTGCACCCAGTTCGCAGTTTTTACCATAAAAGCCAGGTGGACAGGTACAGGAGTAGCTGTTCTCAAGATCCTGTTGGAAGAAAGACCCACCCTCTTTAGCAATCTTTACTACGCATCTTAACATTTGGGACAAAACCTTCTTTTCAGACTAGTTGCAGCGGTAGCATTAACTTACAGTACAACTTCCTCCATTCTTGCAAGGGTTGACATCGCATTCGTTTATTTCAATCTCACAATTGGAACCCGTGTAACCAGCACGGCAAGAGCAGGTGTAACTTCCTTGGCCCGTGTTGGTACAAGTGGCGGCATTTTTGCAAGGCTTATGGTGTGTACAGTAATTTAGATCTGTAGGAGAAGTTACAGACAAAAAGGTTACATCCAGAAGATTGCCTGTGGCTCTGCGAGGACGTTACCTAAGTTTAGTTTAAGAGAAATCCAAGCTTAAGAAAAGTGGACTGTATAAACGTTACAAACGATAGAACTTACCCTGGTTACAAAAAAGACCTCCCCATCCTTCCTGACAATTGCACTGCCAAGGTTGTTGACAGGTACCATGAAGACAACCTGGGTATCGGATGCATTCATCACAGTAACGCCCTTGCCAGCCAACACGGCATCTGTGAAAACACATTTTAAACAATTTTAATCCAGGGAGTCCGGTCACACAAGCTGAAAATTATTTAAATTAAAACTAAACAAAAATCAAACTTCTTAAGTAGTGTACTTCTTCCAACGTTATTGATCTTATTAAGCTCAGAAGCTTTTTCACTACCTGAAATACTTTTTAGGTATTTGAACAAGCTAATCTCTTTGATTTTTGTTGTCCTTATTCCTGAGTTCAAGTTCCTTCTGCTGGTAGCCTTGATTTATTAACCATCACTTTTATAAATCACCCTTCTTCCAAGACGCTAAGGATGCTAATCCCATTTAATCCCCACATTAACTCTGCAAAGACGATTATGCTGACGGAGAAATTGATTTCCCAAGGGCCACATATTTTTATAGTTCATCAGAAAGGCATAGACTTCCCTGCTCCAAACCAAAACACATCTATTCTCCCCTTGATTGAGTTATTCCAGTAATCACACCCATAAACCGCCATCTAATCATTCCATCAAATTAATTATAATTCTTCCATGATTTCAAAAGACTAGATACAAGGCACAGTGCATCCATTATGTTTGAAAGTAAATGTGCTCCTACTAGACACTAAGCCCCATTCAACTTCTTCCAAATATCCATAAATTTTGGAGTGGTGCTTTGGCTCCCTCTTATTTGACTTACATGGACATTAGGTTAAGAAGTAAAGCAGGCCTGAATATAATCAAATCTGGGATTCTCAAATCAAGTTTGCCGGCAGAAGGATGGAGCGAGAACAGGAGAAGGAAAGGTCTGGAAACTTACTTGCATTCTCCAGGCTTGTCACAGAATCCATGCTGGTCATCACAGCCTGGCAAGCAAATTGCTGCAAAACACAAAGAAACCAAAATATATCCATAAGCCTTTTGGAGCCTTGTGAGCTTAGGTCAAATTCTTTTTCATGACAGTCGAGTTGGTGACTGCAGCTAAATGAATTTTCGGAGCTTGCTAAGAGTAGTGGTCGTGCTTTTGTAACAGGGGGCTTTACTTATCACTAGGAATGAACATTCCCTTTAATGCAGTTGCACACAGACAAAAGAGAGCACACAATGACTCCTTTCCGCACAAAATTCTGCACAAAATCCCATCCGCCTTTTCTTCCCAGTAAGGGTCAGAAGTCCTATTTCCCCCCCACACACACACACACACATCCCATTCAATACCAGAGCTCCTCCTCTTGGTATCCTCAGCATCCTCAGCAAGTATAAGAGAGAGGGAGAGAGAGAGAGAGGGAGAGAGGGAGAGAGAGCATGCACAGATAAGGATAGACAGCTGGTGTGCAGGGTGCCAGCCGGGACAGCTGCTCCATTGTCTATTCTCTCCCAGCAGCTGCCCCACTGCAACAATACCCCAACTCCTTACAGCCAATCAGAGCTAAGATGTGCTTTCTCATCAGCCTATCCCTACCCAGATCTAATCTATGGCACGCGCATGATTTCTGGGCAAAGGGGAAGGGTTTTTCTTATTCAAATAATTAAGTCTAAAGTTCTTTCACGCACACCCCCAAAGGAAGGAGGGGGTGTGGAGCCTGAAGAACACAGACGTAGGAAGGAGGTAAGCAGGCCAGCAGGAGGGAGGTTGGGAGCAGGGCGGGGAAGGAAGACTTCTGCTCATTACTTTGCCTGGTTATGGAACTCATTAAGCAGGCACTGTGAGTTTTAACCCCACAAAGCAAGCCAGAGACAATGACAAGCCCAGAAGGAGAAACAGAAGACGAAGAAGAACGGGACTGATCATCAGATTGTTAAAGGGGGGGGGGGGGAGAGAGAGAAGGAATGAATGGGGCAAGTGTGCGGACGAGACAAGCCTGCCAATTTTGGGACAGGCTTTTGGGTTGACATCATTTCCCTCTCCCCAACCCCACCAAGTAAATGCACCATGCATTCTAACAACTTGCTCACAAGGTTCAGAATTTTTTGGAAAGAAAAGCAGGAAGGGTTTTTTTTTCCCCCCTTCCAAAGGCTTCCAACAATATCCTATTTCTCATCTCCTCCTCTAAATCTAATTAAAGGGGGCAGCATGCATTGGGGATGTCACATGGGGGGTTTTCTTACTAACTTGACCCATAAGCAAATCAGAACCATGGTGGCTCTCCTGACAAAGAAGATGCAAAGCAGCTTCTCTGCACCCTGAGGCAACCCCTTGATCTGGACCACTGCAGCATTCATTAGGGCAGCACCCTTACTGGGAAAATCAAATGTCTCTACTTGGACAGATCAAATGGAAGCATCCAACTAGGCCAATTCAATTCAGCTGGCTGCTTCCATCGATTGGAAAGGGGCCTCTACATGAACAGAGCAGGCCTTTTTAGAGCCTAGACTAAAATGGCCAACTGTTTTGATTCATCACTTTGAAGAGAGACATTTCGATTCAGTATTTTTGCCAAAGTACTTTGGTCAAAGCTTCATCCTGTTGAAATTTCCCCTCCAATCTATGCACGATTCCAGTAGACGTTGGGCCTATGAAGACGTAACAAGTGTTTTATTTGTTGCATTTCCTCCAGGAGCTCAAGGCCAACATACCAGTTCCTGGACCAGTAATTACCGTAAGTAGGTATGCCATACTAATTCTCAGTGAGGACAATCACACTGGCCATGGCTTAACATAATAGCCCAAATTTAGACAGTTACTTGAGGCATAAAGTAAAAATTAATAATTTCCAGTGAGATTTTTTTCCCTGCCCTGACTTCACCACTACTTTTAAATACTCTCCCACCAGGCAAAGTATCAAGCAACTTTAAACCCAAGGAACTTCCAGAAGGAAAGATAATTGTTTCTCATGAAAGAATGGAAGATTTCATGCTAAATCATAATCTATTTAGGAAAATCTGTGAATTCAAATGTGAAGGATTTTTTTTTTAAAAGAAGCGTAAGGATAGCTCCAAACTGATTAGGGCTGGCTGGACATATCTGAAAATTAATGAAATTACAATAAAGAACTAAATTGGGAGGAGGGGCAAATTCCATTAAGTCCAGATACCAACATTACTTAACTCTGCTAAGAGGCACAAACCTAAAACCTCTTGAGAATAAGAATTAATCATGCAATTTCTTGGATTCTGGCCAGTATTGCCGCTGGCTGTTTTCCATGTTATTTATGATCCACTCTGGCTAGTTAAGTATATGAGTGCTTACTTGTTCTGCTTCCCGGATATTTATATTTGCAGCTATGTCCCTGTAATGCAGCCAGTGTGTGACTTTGAATGAAGAGAGTCTAGTTCAAGGTTAGGCTACCTGATGCCCTCCAGATGGTTTTGAGCTATGACCCTTATAAACTTCAGCTGGCATAGAAGATAGCCAGGAATTCTGGAAAATGTAATCCAGGTTACTTGGAAGTAGATCTGGATTTAATGGAATATGTTTCTAACTACTTTTCTGAGTTTCACTATCACTATTGATGTTTAATAAAATTGCCTAAAGAACAAATTGATTTCAGAAAGACCTTTTTTTTTCCTTTTAAGAATGGCATGACTGACAACCCACTGAAATTAAGGGTCAAACATATATTTGGGGGATTTCCCCTTTTATAAGCTATCAGGCCTTCCCTGTGTCACCCTATGCCGCCCAGGCCTTTTCTAAGCCAGTCTATGTTAGTTTTTTCTTACTAGACTAATTTAGTCTTTCAGAGAGGAGGACAGTCTAGAATAATAGTAAAATGCCAAGTGCAGAAAAGTGGGGGGGGGGGAGTTAGTTTTTTGTTTTTAATAACTTTTCCAAATATAAGATTGCAACAATATATTTACTAAGCCACCAGGATGTCACAGAACTACTTGCTAGACAGTAAGTGAAGGAAAGGGGTGTGAAAGGGGAAATAAAATGAAGAAAAGGAGAAAATTTTGTCCCTTTTTTTCTGTTCTTCTCCCCATCACTACCTTACCCATATCTTATATTGTTTACTATTCAACACTGAATAATTCTATAGAATCTGAAAGCTTGAACAGTAATGTGATCTTATTTGATGGTCTAAAGGTCTAATAAACATGCCATCTAATAGAAACATTGGAATGCAGGTAAAAAAAGTAAGAACTGCCTTCTTTGCTCATAAAAAATGTTTGCAAAATGCATTTATTGGACAGTTAAATTATGATAGCCATTTCGATGCATGTCAGTTTGTTGGACATACTCAATAAATAATAGAGGGAATTAGGTGGATCAATTTGGCTTACATTACTAATTAATTAATGAACAATACAGCCCTTTGAGAGATTTGTAAGCTTTAATGTCAGGGTTGTCGGAGACATTTTGCCACCTGAGATGAATGACAAGATGGCATTATCTTCCATTCCCATATAAAGAAGCCAACAAGATGCCTCTATACTTTGATTTTGGCATTGATATTTGACTCAGCTTAGTCTAGCATCCATGGTCTTCTGCCATAGCAGAAAAAAGCAGCTGAGGAGTTTAAGAATTGCAGCAGGGACATTGGCACTCCTGCTCTTCCCCATCCCAATTGGTTACCCACTTGAGGAATCTCTTTATCATGATTATGGTATGGCTAATTTCATTTAATATCCATTAAATGTAGTCATATTTATTCAAGAGAAAAATAATGATCTTCAAGAAACCTTGTTCTATAGCAAATTTGTTTAAATTGTCACTGAATATGTATGTGAATATGTATGTAAGTTGCTTCATTCACTGAGTAATAAAGAACAGTCAGGTCTCCAAGTAAAATAATTTGACTGTTACTCTGATTCCCTAATGGCCAACTATTTCACTGATCAAGACGGAATATGAAATTCTTCACTTTTTGAAAGATGGAATGAGATTTCTAAAACACTATCAACTTTTTCCAAAGCTTCTGTATCAGCCTTTCCCAGTGTAATGCCCTCCAGCTGTGTTGGACTATGGTGGTGTTGTTGGGAATTATGGAAGTTGCTAGAGGCTACTAGGTTGAAGAAGCTGCTGTACATAATTTGGCTGATGTTCATGAAGGAAATTTCTAACCTAAGATAGGATCCTACATTTTGCAGAGATATTGTTTCACTTGCAATTTCAAAGAATAGAATCATTGATGTTAAGCACTTGCAATTCTCAGATTTTAGTGGGAGAATACAAGTCTCCCAGCAAGAACCATGGGGATTAAAACTGATTAATATTTAATAGATCTGTGCATTCAAAATTACAAAGAATTGTTTTGAATCTTGAAACATCTCTCTGTTATTCATTATAGCAGCTTGATTTTTTTCAGGATTCTATGAAAATTTGAAAACAGATGTTTGTTTTAAGGAACCAACTCAATAAAATTAAGGAAATAAAATTTAAGGAACCAACTCAATTAAAATTCTTAAAACAATGAGACCTTTTCTTCAAAGTCAGTCTCTTTCTTCCAAATCATCCTTAAAAACAAACAGTCTTAAAACATAATGTTAGCTGGACTGTGATCGTAATTTTGAAAATAATGAAAGATCTTTACAGGCCTTTATTCTTTTGTCCTTGTAAGTGAAGTCATCATACATAATAATTATCTGATTAATAATTGATATATTTTTATTGTTGCTTTGCGTTAATTACCTCATTTCAGGATCGAATGCAATTCATGTTGTATTTGATCCTTGCCCCATATCTTAATGAGTACAGATTCATAGTTTTGGGTGTATGTATATATGTATATATACGTGTGTGTATATACACATACAGTGTGTTTATGTACATAATTTATTTGCATTAATTTACTTCTTAGCATTTGGACATGGAAATGGGCTATACCAACAGACAATCTCCTAACGGAGATTTGTCCAATGGCAAAGAGGGATCATTTCTCTTATTATTCATCTTATTATTCATTGAGTGGGGCATGTTTGGATTTATGCAGAGTAACCAGAATCAACAGAAAGAAAATTGAAGTTTTCATCTCTGGATACTCACGGTCACCGCAGTACAGCCCCTTCCAGCCTGGATTGCAGATCTTTTCCCCACGTTCTCCACAAGTGAAGTGACCAAAGGCATCATCTCGAGGGCGACAAAAGACAGAACAACCTTCTCCATAGTAATGCTCATCACACACAAATCGGTAGGAGTACTTGAGGTCAGTGCGACCACTGGTATGCAGGTCACTGGACCATTCTTCCCCAACAGTCAAATGTCTCTGTGTAGCCAGGCGGCTAATAAGACGATCTGGATTCTCTGAAGAGGGAGGGGTAGAGCGGGATAAGGAAATGGAATAGCAACACAGTTCATTAAATAAGAAAGGTGATGTACCACTAGAGACCTAGAAGATCTTTGGGAAGGGTTGGGTATTTCTAAGTATGTTGCAGAAGACAGATGTTTATGTGAACAGACCCCAGAATGCTATTGGGCTTGACCTCTAGCCAAGTGGCTGAAGATAATGGAAGACAAGCCCATTGAATAGGGAATTAGATTAGAAGGAATGTGTAAAGTTGTCTTCCCAACCGTTGCCCTCCAGGTGTGCAAGACTGTTTTCCCCATCATGGGAAGGTAACATAGGGGTCATGACTTAGGAAGGCCTCCAGGTTAAGAAAGACTCCTGAATATACCACTTGGGAAAACATTATTTACCTGTGCTGAGGTCATCAGGAGAGTCAGTGTGCAGAGCTTCAATGATGAGAGAGAAAGTGCCCTGCACAATACAGAGAAGGGAGAAACAATGAATGTGAAGGCCTGCAGTCAGCAGAAATAATATAATCACAGGAGACTACAGCCACAACAGCCAGCATGACTCTCTGATCCCCTGACTCAGGCCTCTCTTTTTTTCCCTCAAGGAAATGGCAGCACTTTTTCAAAACTTGCTTCCTGGCCTGTTTTTTCAGCCTGTTCATACAGGATATGGTATTAAAATGGAGCAATGAGGGGAAACGGGGAGGGGCTGGGAACAGCCATGACTGCCAATCCTCCCCCTTAATGAAGAGGGATGGCAGGGGGAGGGGGGAAGGATGCTAGAAGAGTGGTGGGCCAAACTGGCAACAACTTTGGTATTTCTACAGTAGGCAGACAAGGGGAATGGGGCTATGTTCAGATATTCTGTCAATCCTGCCTTCAACATTCCCTTCAATGGATCAGCTGTGGCTCCTAGTGATGATCAAGTATCTACTTGCCACTGCCAAATTGCAGTCTGCAAAAATTTTTGCGTTTCCAGTGGCAGAATTTCAGCATACCATACAATCTAAGAGAAAGTTGTTAGAACCGTAGAACAATCCATAGTCCCTGATAGGTAAGAACTACCTCCAAGCCAACAGCACTGGTAACCCGAGTATTCAGCTGCATTGAATACTCCAGGAAACATCAGGAAAGCAGCCACTTAACTGAAAGTCTTTAGAAAGGGTCAGACACTTTTTTTGTAGGATGAGAAAAAAGTTCTATGTTTGCAAAACAGACACCCATTTTGATTACATCACTGAAGGTAACCTGGTACCATCCAAGATTCTGAGATTTCAACTCCCATTAACTACAGCCAGGAAGGCCAATGGCAACAGACTGCAGGAAATATAGCCTGAAACATTTACACCAGTGTTTCTCTAGCTTGGCAACTTTTCAAATGTGTAGACTTCAACTCCAGAATTCCCCAGGCAGCCATGTAGTCCACACACCTTAAAAGTTGCCTCATTGGAGAAACATTGTTCTGGAGGATAACCCGTTGTCTACTCTTAAAGAATGCACACAAGAGGCTTCTAACATTTTAAATGGGTACAGAACTGTTCCTTTACACTTCCTTTTCTCTGGCATGAAGAAAATCATGGGGAAAGAGGAAAATAAGGCACAGGAGGTAGCTGAGGCAAATAACATCTGAACCCATATAATATTTTGTGAACTGCACAATAAAAGCCACCCATGGAAGCTCCTTCTGTATGACTTGACTTGAAATAAATTGGATCCCTTGGTTCTGAACCCAGAATCTGTCCATTTAAGTGAATTCAAGAGTACCATTAAGTGTTCCTCCTTTTGGAAAGACTAAAAATAATCCATCCTCTCTAGACTTCTGGACCATGCATTTTCTATTGTGAACATCCATTTCCTAATCTAGATAGAATGGCATTCCAAGGTCATTTCCTCACTAGTAATTTATAGCTGTGTGTCTGTGTGTGTGTATCTATGCATGTAAAATGTATATATTGTATATATTATAACAGTCCCAGAGGTGCTTTTTCAAGAGGCAACTGGACTTTCTTGTTTCTCTTTGAAGACGTTTCGCTTCTCATCCAAGAAGCTTCTGCTCATTCAGCTCTGACTGGATGGTGGGAAATGGAAGGCTTTATATTCCTTGCAGACAGCTGGTCATTTGCATTCTTTTAGACAAAAATGCAAAGAAAAAAAATGCAAAGAAAAACAAGGAAGTCCAGTTTGCCTCTTGAAAAAGCACCTTTGGGACAACCATGAACTGGATGACCTGAGAATCTCCATAAGACATGTTATAGCAGTTATCCCAATCCATGTTATAGCAGTGTTATCCCAATACAAAGTAATGGTTAGACTTTTTACCACTGGCAAGAGAACTCCAACCCCCTAATTAAAAGATGGCTCTCATCTGTATCTGTGATCAAATAAACAGAGTAGCACTGCCATTTCCAAATAATTGACAGGTTCTTCCACTACCTGATTACACATTTGTAGCATTCAAAATGCTACCCGATTACACATTTTTAAGGCCATTTGATGTGGGTTTAAGTCTACCCTCTTGCATGCAAACCTCCCCCTCTCTCTGTCCCAGGCCTCGGGCGATCTTACCGGCCAGGTGAAGCCGAAGGGGAACCGGATGGGGTTGCTGAAAGACGGTTCGCTGCCGCTGGTGACGGCGCTGTCGGGGACGCTGAACGAGTTGGCTCCAAGAACCGGCGTGACGGCACTGCCGTAGGTACAAGGCGGCTCTGGGGACACGCTAGCTTGGTAGTGCTTAAGGCACACGCGGAAGAAAGTTTTGCAGTCGCACTGTTGCAAGCCTGCCGAAGCGCCGGCGCCGGGATTGGCGGAGCCCAGGCCCTCTCGGCAGCAGTTGCGGTTGCCCAGAAGCCCCTTCTTATTGACAAACTCCTGCAGCTTCAGCTCGAAGACGCCGGAGGTCCAAACCTGCGGAGAAGGGCCGGGGTGGGGAGGGAGGGAGGGGGAGGAACGGCAGACGGTTAGAGAAGCTGGGAGCAGCGAGGGTTGCTCAGGGGCAGCGCCGCGGTCGGACCGGGAATCGCCTCGAAGGGGCGGGGCAAATGGATCAATGAAAGTTCTGGCGCCGCAAGCGGATAGCGCCGCTCGTCCTAGGCGCCCACCGCCCACCCCGCCGCCGCGCGCGTAATGGGCCACCTCCTGCCGAGCCGAGCGCGGAGGCCGACTTGTCCACTGCGACGCGCCCGGTGGCGAGATGCCCACCCGGCACCTCGCGACGCTCCGACGGGGTGGGGGTGGGTGAGGGGAAGAAACGCGCGGAGAGAGAGAGATTGAGAGCACGTGTGTCGAGTATCGCAGACCCGGGAATCCTGAGGGAAGCGCTCGAGCCGCGCTTTTCCTCACCGCGAACGCGGAAGCTTCTCGTGGGAACGCGTGAGGACGCGGTGCTCGGCTCTCAAAAATTGCTCGAGGGAAGGAGGATAGGCGCTTGCTCCTCGCGCGTTCCCCACCCCAACCTTCGCCAGACCGCTGCTGCGCTCCCCAGAAAGGGGACCGCCAACTTTTGGGGATGGTGGAATGCCAGAGCCCCGTCAGCACGCACACACACACCTTTCCGCATCCCCTCAACGCCCTGAGGGCTTACCTGGCAGGGAAGTTGAAGCACGCAAAAGACCATTAAAGCCAACGTGGACCGTCCACCCATATTGGCAGGGCTGATGAAGCGGGGGAAGGAAGAGGTCTGGGCTTCTTCCCTTCTTGTCCCCGGTTTTCCTTTCCAAAAGGAAGAAACAGCAAACCAAGACGAGCTTCTGTCAAGTCGAAGATCCGGACGTTTCTCCGCTCCGAGCCTGGCCGGAGGGGGATTAGAACGATGATTTATTTGTTTGGAGTCTCTCTCTCTCTTTCTCCCCCTGCGACCCCCCTCGTCGATGCGCTTCAGATACGCCCTTTAGTTGACTGACAGATCTCGTTTTAAAGATGAATAAGGCGCAAGGAAAAAGGACTACCCTCCTCTTGGCTTCCCCTTCCAGAGACAGTTCTTGGCGCTTTGGTTTCTCTTGCTCCAACCAAAGCAAAGGAGAGAAAAAGCCACTTAATTCCCAGGGACGAAGAAAAGACTTCCCAAAGGAGATTAAAATAATCAACGATCTGGAAATCCCTCAGGGGACGAGAAGATAATTCCCGGTGGCTTCAGGCAAAGAGTGGCGGGTTTTTTGTTTTGGCGTGCATGTGATTTTAGTTTTGCGGAGGGGTTGGCGATTACGCACAAGCAGCCGTTTTCAAATCCCCCAAGCTTTGGTGGTCGCCACTTTCTGGCAATGAATTCCGATCGATGTGTTGCTTTAAAAAAAAGGAAAGAAAGAAATCCAAGCCGTTTGCCCCACACCCCCCGCAAAAAAAACCCAGGCAAAATGTTGTTGCTTCGTGGATTTCCAAAGTCGATGGCTTGGCGGTGCCCGCGTTAATGTCTGCTCTCCGCTTTAGTCATGGGTGAGCTTTGCTTTCGCCTTGAAACTGCCTGCTGGATTGGGGTAAAATTATTCCCTTTTTTTTTTCCTTTTTCTTTTTTTTTTCCGGTTTTTTTTCTTTTTTTAATTTTTTGCTCGCTGACTTGCTCTGTAGCGCTAAGGATCTGCCTGCGTTCCAGCGCCTGCCTGCCTTATATCTCGCCGGCCGCCTGCATGGCTAATGAGATGCAAATGAGCAGCCCCCCAATCTGGCTAGAGCGGTCACAAAGGAACCACTTTTCCAAGCCTCCCTCTCAATGGATCACCAAATGGTCAGTGAGCTGTAAAATGGGCAACCCTCGTCTTCCCCTCCCCTCCAGCTCCCACCAAAATCTGAAAGGGGAGGGGGCGCTGATTTACATGCCTGCAAATTTGGTAACCGCAAGAACCGACCTTCCCCGCCAGACGCACACCCTTGCTCTTCTTTCCCAATAGTCTCGCTCGCGCTTTTCCTTCTCTGAATAGGAAAAAGGCAGGAAACCTTTCCAGCAGCGAAAAAACGCTGGGTTTTGGAAACGTCTTAAAAACGTGTCTATGCGTTCGCGTGCGCGCACCGAGCTTTTTCTTCTCGCTTCTTTTCTTAAGCGCAGTCTGCAGGTTTGCGTAAATCCGCCCACTGCCCTCCCAGCCTTTCCGACGTCGGATTACAATTCCCATCACCTTGACCCAAAGTGATGGGAACTGTAGTGCAACGCAATCTACCTAGCGCAGAGGAGTCTCTTCCGCTGGGAATCAGCATCTCTTGAACTCTCTCTGTATTTCAAGTCTTGGGAGAAACGGGATATGGGAAGGAAACGCGAATTCGGGAGACGTGGACGCAGTCAGATTCCCAAAGTGTCTTGTACCGTCTGTTGGATTTTTCAAAGGCGGTTAAACCCACGGTTGCTTGCGCTATGGAGTTTTGGGGATCCTAGAGCCAGAGATAGGGGCGATGAGTTGGATGGGAAGGTTCCAAAAAGTCCCTGCGCGCTTTTCCCTGGATCCTTACGCGCAATGAACCCCGAAGACTTTCAGTTGCAAACAATCCGGAAAAGACTCTTGCCTTGTGTTAAGTTCCAAGCGGGGGAGAAGGGGGAGGGACGGACGAGGGAAACAGTCTTGCTTTTTAAAGACCCCAAAAGAAGCTCTTTCAGTCCCTCGCTCCACTCCACTTTCCCCCCCCTCCTTTCATTTTCCCTTTCCCCTGAATTCTTGGCGAACTTGCAACGATCGAGGCCCCAACTTCGTTTCTTCTCCCCTTCTCTCCCCGTGCCTTGAGCTGTCTCTTTCTGCCTTTTTCCCCCCTTCTCTGAGCGTACTTTTTGTGTTGTGTGCGTGTGTGTGTTTAACGTGAGCGGTGTGGGTCGTTCGCGTGGCTGTCATTAAGGCAGTTTGTTATTATGGGAGGCCTGCATCAGTTGGCGCTTTGTGCCCTCAGCTGTATGGTAATGTGGACAAGCACCTGCTCTCTGCACAATGCAACCGAGAGAAAGAGCTCCCCTCAGCGCACGCTACTGACTCTACAACAATGTGCGCCCATTTTAAAAAAGAAATCCATTTCCACGGCCTTCCTTCCCCTCCCTACCTTATCCGAAATGAGGGGGGGGGGGACCCCCCTCTGTGTTGTCCCCTTTTTTTTTTTTTTCCCCCCCCCCCACTTTCCTTTTAACGCATTTATCAACACGGAAGCCTTTATATTGGTTAAAATGCACGCGTGTAAGAGAAAAGAAGGCTCTGCTATCGGAGCAAAATTTAGTAAGTCTGCCTTCCTGGAAGCAAGATCTTAGAATTAAGCAACAGCAACGCCAGGAAGTTGGCCTTGATAGGGAAAGGAAGATGGGCCTCGTTGCAAAACCCCTCCACAAACAGGCAGTTTTAAGGCAGCCTGAACTATCTGCGCAAACGTCATTTGAAATGCTAGAGATCCCGGAGCACCTTAGGATGGTGAAAGAGAGAGATTTGGCTACTAAGAGCTAGCTCCCTGTATGTACAGCCCGCTGGAAATCTTTATGGCCGCATTATGGGATTTGAACGGCCTTTCCAATGATAAAATGCGACTTTCATTGAAGCAGATGGCTTGATCACAAATTGCCTTACAATGTGCGTGTGGGGGGAGGGGGAACGGAGTGAGGAGCGCAAGAGGGAAAAAAAAACAATCTAAACCACTTCATCAAATCCAATTGCTGTTGAAGGTCAATTAAAAGAAAATCACTAATTGGATATGCATTGGAGAAGACAAGTCTACTTTTCCTGGTGGTATACGAGAAATTTAACGTTGAATTGAATAGCTGGGTTTACCCAGCATGGTATGCCATAAAATAGTTTGGTTTTTGATTATGTACATTTAATCAATTAAGGGGGTAGTTTTTGGAGGGAGTTTAGTTTAATGCAAGGTGTCAAAGCACAGCATAGGAAATGCATTTTCTAAAAAACATTGGCTCTTTCTGATCAAATGTCTTAATTTTTGGTTTTTTGAATATGAAAGTGAATGGTAATTTATAAGCAGAGGCAACATTCCAGCCATGTGGCTTGGTCTCTGATAGGTCTGGATGGACTTTTGCCTCAATGCACATAATTTGTTGGTTGGAACACTCTTGACAAGAGGCCCAATGATCAGATTTTGGAAATGATGGTGCAAATCATCTTGCACCAAGCAGTCTGAGTTTATTAAAAGCAAATTCAGAAAACCAACCAGATCAGAAAACTATAAAATGACATTCATATCTTCATCTCAAACTAATCACCTCAAAATGGGACAGACAGTGATCTTCACTCTAATGAATGTCTGCTTTTAAAAGATCATATATTTAAGGAATTTAGGTTTGTCCAGAAAAATAAATGATCCAAATATACCACAGAACCAGTGAAGATAAGTTGCTGTTTATTTAAATATGCATGTCAAATGCATGGACATGGCTTTGTAAGTATAGCTTAGTATTTATCTTCTTTTTTTCCAGGCAGTGATTCATTTTTTTAAAAAAAAAATCCCAATAACACTGATAAATTAGTCTGAGAATAATCAACTGGGTATCTTTTGAAAGTTCATCTGCTTACTCTTGCTAACTATATTGTAAGCTTTCTGCAGTCCGTGCTTTTCATGTATATTGGCCTACAAATTGATGGGGATTGTAGTCCAATGAACAACAAGAGCATCTGGATGGGGAATACTGATGGACAAGGTGTATGTGGCAGACAGATTGATCTAAAATGAGAGGGAAAATGCCTGTGAAAAAACAAGGAAATCTGAGTGTAATAAATTAAAGTATGGCATGCCTGGGTAAGTGCATTTCCACAGAAACATAAATGATACTTTGCTCCTCAGGATAACAAAACAGCAGATATGTTTGTAGTTGTATATTGCAAATGTAAATGTTTTCTGAAAGAAATAATTGTGGTTGCATTACATTCTTGGTCTGATGCAACCTGTTTAGAAAGAAAAAGAATTATTTTAACTACTTTAAGTAAGTTAAAATAGGCCCTGGGCAGCACTTCCTGTTGAACCCATTAGGTGAAATCCTGTAGTGTCTCATTTAGTGTTGCAGTGTTGGCAAGTTTTTCGAGTTTCGACACATATTTTAATTTTATACCACTGATTCATGTAAAGATATATTTAAACAAGGAGTACCATCTATTCATCTGTAATTAGTTAAATACATTGAAGTAACTTTATTATTTTGTTACTCTCAATTATTCGCAGTTTTTGTAAAAGCTCAGAGATTTCATTGTAGCAGTTGTCTTCAGGGATTGTAAACAGGGTAAGACTTGTTCATCAAACACTTTAGGTTCCCTATTGGCCTTTGAGGCAATTTTGTGAGAAACTACCATATGATAAGTATACAATCTACAACAGCTAAGAAATATATTGGAAATTCCTCCAAAAAACTGAGCCAGAAGCATTTCTCTCACCAAGGGGTACTATCAAAAGGAAGTGGAGCTGAAATACAAAGATAAAAACCACCCTTCTGGATCTCATTAATACCAAAGACCCTTGTGCAAAACATGCCCTCTTGTGCAAGAGAAACCCTCTTTTATCAGTTTTTCATAGACATTTGCCAGGCTGGAGAAATGTGCTATGGTGGCATCTTTTCCTAGGTCAGTTAAGTCAGGGGTGCTGTAGAATAAAGGCGTAGTAGATTGAGGATCCATGGTGATTTGATCTTAGAAGCCAGACTTTCTGGAGATTCATTTGACATTCCTGTTATGGGAAGGGGTGTGAATCAAAGTTAACGCGTGCAAGGGCTTAAAAGCCTGCTTCCCCTGGATCACCCCTGCCCCCCCATAAAAAAAAGTCTTTCCAAACCTTTTTGACTAACCTGCCTTCGCTCTCAAGGATTTGTTAAATTGACGCAGCACAGATTTCTCGATTAGGTCTGCAAAGCGGAACTGAAAGGCATCATAAAATCCATCAGAATCCTGCCCAAAGCGCTTATTCTCTTCCAACTTAATTTATGCCACGCGATTCTGTATTGGGGAAATCAAGCAGAAAGCCCTTTTTTTCCCTTGCTCTCCCCTTCCTCTTTGCTTTGCTCCCCCGCCCCTTCTTCTCAGATGCTTCTGGGCTAACGGGGAGACTGTTTAACTTAAGTGTTTCTATAGGAGGCTGTTGTAGTTTAACTCCTGCCCACCAGTAGCTGGGCTGAACAAAGAAGAGACTCGAGGTCTCTCCATTCATCCTTTCTCTGTGCTTTAATTTTCATTGATTTTGAAGACAAGGGGAGCCCTCAGGGATTCGAGCTGAAGGGGGATGACACGCCTTTAGATGCAATCCACCCCCCTGGCCAGCCATCTGCTCCTAACCAAATGGCGTTTTTTCATCCTAGCTCCTGCGTGTCTCTAGATTCCGCTCTCACACTTTCAGCTTCAGTTTCTCTAGCTGGCTGTTCCCTGCCCCCCCCCCAAACTCAATGCAAAGGCAGCTTAAGTTAAAGTATGTTGAATAGACTGGAGGGGGGGGTGAAAGAGAAAAGAGGGTGATTGGAAAAAACCCAGCCAGAAAAAAAAGTGATAAATCCTTACCTTTTTTCATTAAGGCAGCACCACAAGCCCCTTTTAAATACTTTTTGATTCCTCAGCAAATTTACTGTACTATGTTGAACTCATTAACCAGCACAGACAAAATGTTAGAAGCAGAAGCCAAGGTGAATTTGTTCCTGTTTAGGAAAAAAAAAAAAGGAGGGGAGGAGGAAGCAAGATCTGAGAGGGTGGGGACCTGACGCTATTTCTGTGGAGGGGGAGCAGAGAGAAAAGAAACTCCTTTGAGCAGCCTGAGAATTTGTCCAGTTGGCTCCAAAAGGCTCTGAAAGAATTTCAGATTGGATAGTCGGGTGATCTGAGAAGTGGAACATTTGCAACTTCCTTCTGGAGAGGATGCAAAAACCTTTGTAGTTACCCTTCTCCAGCAAGATTGTGAGTGGCCTTTTCTGAGGCCGGAAATAGCCAAGACAAACGATAAAGAGCAGATCAAGAATGTTTCTTGCTTGAGCATTTCCTCTGCCACGCAACAGTCATAATTAAGGGGCAGAGAACTTGTTTGGTCTGGAAAAAGTTCAGGCCGAGATACCTCCAAGTAAGAAGTTTTAGGGAGTCCTTGGTCAAGTGGTACCTGTACTGAATATAAATGGTAAGGGGGTTACCTGGATTCTTAATCATTAATATGATATATAAATTTCTCTTCTACATTCCTAAATCATGAAGTGATGTGAATCCAATCAACTGAAGCATACTCAAGAAACTAGAGTTAAGCAAAAAGATAACTCCACACAATATGCAAACCAAAGCCTACGTTTATAAGCATCAAGATAACACATATTTCCTTTCTTATTTAGTTCCTTGAACACCGAGGGTTCAATTTAACTGTCATTCATATTGAATTTGTATGGGTCTGTACATAGCCAGAATTAAGGTAGCTATGGACGTAATACAAAAAGGAAGCATCCGTTTAAAAAAGGAAATAGCAAAACGTGCAGATGTTTAAAAAAAAAACTATTAAAAATTGAGTTAAGGGCACAGGATGCAGGCTGTTCAAGGGAAATGGAAAAGAGGACGGAATGGAGCTTTCTAGAGAAGGTATAGGTGGCCAGCGGGCACCCTGGGTAAGATAACTACCAGCAAGATTGCACCACATTGTAAAAGGTCCCATTTCTCCTGGCTAGTGGAAAACTGAAGCCCCCAACTTCAAGAACTGCCAATTCTGCCAGTTTGGGAGAAGTAAAATCAGGTAATTTTTTGCAGGATAGGATCAGAAGTGTGATGTGAGCATGTCTCGGCCTCTACCACTAGGTTAATGACCAACAGTCTATAAAAGTTACGCCGCTAACTGGACATTGAATAATCAACGACCTGAAAATATTGGAATCTACATCATAATATTCCTGGCATGGTGATATGACCACAAGATGAGCTTCAAACCGGGCAACCCAGTTACGGTATTACTTCTATTTCCAGATATAGTGTGGGCTAGTTGAACATTAAACCATTTGGAGGAGAGGTCTTACATGGTTATAGCAATAAATTCCATTAACCCCACTATATCCACAGAATTCAAGTCAGAATGATTCAATAATTCTATTTGGAAGCTCTTGACTCTTAGGATTAATCAATCTCATCCCCCCCACCCGATATGTATCCATTGAGTAATGACACTTTTAAGAAGGATGATATGGTTAACATTACTTACTTGAGATACTGATTCTATAATGGCTCATTGACTGGTGGGAAACCTTCCCTTGATATTGGACTAAAACAACCATTCTTCCCAATTCCAGCATCTTCCAGAAGAAACAGGCAGCAACTTCCATCATCATCCTCAGCAATATAGGCAGTGGGCTAAAATAGGGTTAGATGGGTTTTTTTATAAATATGCAAAAAAAAAAAAACCAACCCAAAGGATTGTTATTAATTAGTTGTAGTATCAGCTTGCCATTAATTTAATCTCCTGGAAGCTTCCCACCTACAAAAGATAACTCCAAGACATGAGGTGTTCACATTGAGGAAATTGCTTTGAGGTCCAAGCTATTGATTAATACACAAGCTAGATATTTTCACATACACTGGCTGGGTGAACTCTGATTCAGTTCAAGGTAAGAAACACGGTAAGTCTAGCTCTTTTGGAATTCCCCAGTAAAATAGCAAGGAATTATGACGGTCATAGTCCAAAACATCTGGAGAGTTCCAATTTGCTTATCCTAAATGGGTTTAGGGATCAATCCACAACCAAGATCAAATATTGGCAAAAACCACCTTGGCTGAATAGATGTGGCTTTACTTCTTTTCCCAGAGGTCATGTCTCATTTTTCAACTGTATTTACTTTCAAGTAAATTCAATGCATTTGCATGAGTTTGAATGAATCGTGAAGACTTTGACATTAGGGTTACTTTTTAGCTGCCTTGGAGTTCAATTCTTCTAAAGTCAAAAGGATATATAGATCATAATTCAAATCATTGGAAAATGGACATCAATCAATATGTGCAGAAAACGTGGAAATGGTCTTCCACTTTGGCAAAAATTGTGAAGGCATCACTAGAGCCTGCAAGACTATCTCGAAGGTTAACAAGACATTTATTTCTTCATGAGGGATGCAAGTTCTGAGAAGTATTGATCTTCGAGTTTCCTTTCTCTCTATGAATCCAGAATACCCATCTGGCATAGTCAGAATTCAGAGCAGAGAAAGCCAACTCTTGCCAATCTGGAAGTTCTAAACAGCTATTACTATGAAAGAGGGATTTTGTATTGAGTAGTGTTCTTAGTTGCCTTGTAGATATAATAATATTTAGGGTCAGCTCTGCTATTAGGCCAAAAAAATATTTGCCTCAGCAGGATGAGCTTGGGCATTTGTTTGAAAACAGTTTTTGGTTGTTCCACAGTTGTTTTTAGTAACGGCTACCAAGGAATGGCATTTGTATTATTTTTTTCTACTCTAGATACTGACATTACTTAACTGGAAGAAAAGGCTCCTGCATGTTTATCTTCCTGCATCACCAGGTCTTGCACCAACTCTAACAATCAGTGTGATAGACAAGATTTACAAGAAACTAGGGACTAATTTTTGATAAAGATCTGAGTTTCACCACAAAAAAAATGGATTTTCAGCAGCCAGTTTGGTGTCTTAGCTGCTTAATCATAAAAACCAAAATTGTTACCAAGATTATGCTTGTTTTGACACTGTCTCACATTTCCAGGGATTAAATTTATTCCTCAGTGTGCTCACTTGAAGTCACTGTCTCAGTTGCCCATCTGTTTCAGGGGCCTTTAGAATTGGGCGCCAATGATAAGAGGGCTGCAAAGACAAACTCAGTGAACAGAAACAGTCCACATTCACGTGACCCAGTCCAAAGGAGAATTAACAGGTGTAGTTCAAAGCACACTTCACTTGAGAGTAATCCCAATTAAATGCAATGGCAATTAAACTTCCCTGATTTGCCTAGGATCTGGCTTTAAAGATGTATTATTATTAAATGTGGTTTCTTGGCTTTAGGCAACCTATTTATCCTTTCCTGCAACAATCCTCAATCTTCCCCCCTTCTCCTTCTGCTTCACATGTGCAGGTCACTGAGAATTAATGTGGGAAAGGAATCCTGTCCCTAGACTTGGTGCTCCAGCAACTCAGGACTTTCACACGCTACAAAAATGAAACGGGTGAGAGAGAGAGTTGGGGAAGGGAGAAAAATGGGGATCACAGTGAGCCTGCACCCACCGAATTAGGGGGTTCACCTTCCCCGTGCCTTGCACCCACGTTGGAAAGGTCGGAGCCCACGTATTGATTTTAAGAGAGAGCCGGGTGAATAAGTTTCGGCTGCTCTGCAGGTTTGTCTAAAGTTGTAAAGGCATGTGCTGATTAGAATAAGAAAGGGCGGTCGCGTGGCTCAGCTGGCACACAGAGAAGCCAGATGACAGATAAGCACCAGCTCCCTGCGACCGCTCCACCCCTCACCCCCACCCCACGACTTCCCCCGGCTCCGCTTCTCCGCCTCTCCCTCCCCGTTTTCCAATCGCAGATCATCTGCTCCTCTCCTCTCCATAATAAAGCAGGCGTGTTTACCTGGGATCCCAGAACCGGCGGGGCATTCCTTTGTTTCTTCATCAGATTGCTGCCGCCAGCTGCTCTTTCCAGCCCTTGCTTCAACAAATCTGATCGGGGGGCCTGCCTAGGCTGTGGTCCAAGGGGAAAATCCTTCAGGAAGGAAGTCTAGCTCTCATTCTCCTTCTGATTTCTTTGGTTTCAATGGAGAGACCCTACTTGGGGCTATCTCCCGCCCCAATCCTTCCCCATTCCAGAAAGGGCTTTTGATTTATTTATTTTGTTCTTTTCCCGAACCTGAGGTCAGTCGCGTGCCTGGACGTCGACCCAGGGAGCATCTCCCGGGATTGCTGAGCAAATGAAAAACTAGTTGCCGGGCCGCGAGAAGAGACCCCTCTGAGGTTTAGCAAGCATTGCAGATCCGCCTGCCAAGGCAGGATGTTATTTCCCGCGGGATCCTGTTTCAACCTCTCCCCAGATTGCTTGTAGGACTCCCCGGCGGAAGACGGAAGCGTAGGTTTCTTGATGGGTGGAGAAGCAGGGGCATACTTGCTCAAAAAAATAAAGGGAACACAAGCAGAAGACATCCGACATCTGAATGAATGAAATAGCCTTATTAAATACTTTGTTCGTTACATACAGTAGTTTTGTGTTCCCTTTAGTTGTTTGAGCAGTGTATAAACTATATGTAAAGAACGAAGTATTTAATAAGGCTATTTCATTCATTCAGATCTCGGATGTCTTCTGCTTGTGTTCCCTTTATTTTTTTGAGCAGTATATAACGGACCAACGTTTTAGAGCCGATTCTTACATGTCTTTGCATTAGTTATCTGCCTAGTAGTATTCAATACCCTCCGAGTTGATTCCCTAGACTGAACGCACGTTAACCAGCCAACTGGTTAATTGGAGAAAAGGAGGAAAGAAATCAAGTAAAATTAATAATTGGAAAGAACTGGATCAGTGGTGGGTTTCAAATTTTTTTACTACCGGCTCTGTGGGTGTGGCTTGGTGAGCGTGGCATGGCTTGGTGGGCGTGGCATGGTGGGTGTGACAAGGAAGGATACTGTAAAATCTCCATTCCCTCCCCAATTCAGGGGAAGGTTACTGCAAAATCCCCATTTCCTCCTGATCAGCTGGGACTTGGGAGGCCGAGAATAGATGGAGGCGGGGCCAGTCAATTTTTACTACCAGTTCTCCGAAATTTCCGCTACCTGTTCCCCAGAACTGGTCAGAACCTGTTGAAACCCACCTCTGAACTGGATGCAAATAGTGGTATGAATGTTTCGTCTTAGAATATTTATTTCAGAACATTTTGCCCATGCTGGGCAGAAATGATGTGGTAAAATCTGCATTGTAGACTTTTGGAGGAAGACACTTGTTTTTCCAAGTCCAGATTTCCATATTAAACAATACTGTTTGTAGACCATTTCAAAATGGGTCAAATAGGAGACCCAGTTTGTTCTAATGGTTAAAGCACCAGGGTAGAAACCAGGAGACCTAGTTGAGTTCTAGTCCCACTTGAGCCATGAAAGACAGCTGGTTGACCTTGGGCCAGTCATTCTCTCTCAATCCATAATACTAGACAACAAGCTGGTCAGTCAATTCCTGTAATGTTTGGTTGATCTGAAAAAAGTGGGCCCTGCACTTGCAGGAAAACCACCAGGAAGAAAAAAATACCAACATTTATCAAATACATTCTCAAAATTTAATACATATACACTTGCAATCTACTATCTTCATAAACTAAAATATTGTACAAATAGATGTACAAAACTTACGTAAAATTAGAATTCTCGTGCCATTTTTCCACTTCTACTATAGAGGGCCTATAATTTTAGGCCTTCAAGTATAACCTAAAACAAACTGACCTCAAGCTAAATCAAAATTAAGCATATTTTAGAAATAAGTTTTCCTTTGTCACATAAACAATAACTTGGCAGCAGTTTTTGCTTATAAAACTCTTCTCTAGAACATTTGTGATGTCATCAGATGATGTGAGCTCAGGCTTGATCTTTGTACTCATTCTAATTAGATAAATAATATGGCTGTAATAGGAACAAAAGCACTGGTTTGATGTCAGAACATTTCACTAGCAGATGAGCTTGTTGACTTATTATTATTGAAAAGAGGGATGGGCTCTACACTGTTAAATCTAGAATCCACAATTTCTTAAGAAATCAATAGAAACCATAAGCCACACCCTATGCATATATTAATATAATCATTAGTATCAACTTCTTTCTCCTCTAAGAACCCAGAGCAAGATACAATACCCCACCACCACCCATTAAAACCAGAAAAGCAATCAACAATATCTGTTATAAACCAAGATAAAAACAGTAAGAATACAACAAAATAAAGTTCACTACATAAGGCCATCTGAAGTGCAATCTGTTCATGGAGCTCACAGAAAAAGCTGTATTAAAATCTTACCTACCGTATTGGACTTGCTTTGAACAAAGCATGTGCAGAGGAAATGTATTTAGAATCATGTAGCAACATTTAGGTCCCAATATAACATGTCTAGATTGTGACTCCTGGAATAAGCAAGATACTAGGCACACTGTGGGTGAAAAAGCTCTAGCGATTGTAGACAATAGGGGTTATAAACCATGACTTGGCATAATTATTTGTCAATATCTTCGATGATAAGAAATGAGCATATGCATTATGGAGGATCCATAATTTATGTAAAAATGTGGCTTTAGAATTTTTAAATTTGTGTTCATTGTCCCTCAGAACATGTGCTAATATGTTGCTTTTAGAAATAAATATTTGCCACAAAAACCAGATATCAGTCGGAATGAATATCTTTGTAAACTAGTTATACGTATCACAAAAAATAAAATGAAGATGGGATTGCATGTTTTTCAAAATACTTCCCATGCAATTTGGGTTTTTTACCACCTGTGGTAGAAATGTGAATTTTCTTTTCAACAGAATATTATTTTAATATATTGAAGAATTGTTTTAACTTATCAGTAAAAAGATATTACCATTTTAAGGTTTATGCCCCATCCAAGTCACCCTGAAAAGTTATCAATGTTTAGTGTATTTGTATTGTTGATGTTTATTTGTTTCTTTGTTAAAATTATTCACAGCCATCTTACCGAAGAGCTACTCTGGGCAGCTAACAGCAATATTAACAAACCTATCACATAACATAATGTATATTATTTGTGTAATTTAAACATATTAGTTCCTTAATGTGTCTGTTTTGGCTTCAAAAAATCTAATTTAGTTCTATTAAACATTACTTTTAAATATTGGATTGTTGTTGTAATGTTATTCTGCTTGTACAGCTCCATTTTGAAATATATGCAAAGGTCATATCCAAGAGGATATTTTTATATAAGGCTTTTCAACATGCAGCTTTTAATAGCAAATGCAGAATATAATCCACTAATGTATGTGCAATTAAGCATGAAATGAATTGCATTATTAGGGGGATATCTACTTATCCATTTTTTTCTGCTAATATAACTCAAACATATTACATTTTCTTCAGAATTCACTGGAACTATATTCAAACTAAGTGCACTTAAAATTGCAATCTCATAGAAAATCTCTACTTACTAACAAATACTCTAAAATATCCATTTTGCTTCTTTTTTGCCATTTGCAGAAAATCTGAATATCCCATTTTCTTTTAATGCTTTTCTGAGTTTTGTTTTTCACCTGAAGCAGAAGTTCTTTTCAGAAAATGATTTTCAGTCCCTTTTCAGATGTGATTTTAGAGTTTGGGGATGATATAAATCCTCTGCTTCTGGAGTGGGGGGTCTTTTTTCTGTGAGCATCTGCCTGTAGAAGAACAGATGTGGGCACCTGCAGTGACAGGCTGCACATGGTCCACACTATTCATAGGCATTCAGATGTGGCTACAATGGTAAGCTTTTGTATATGCAAAGTCACTAAATATATTAATCTGTGTTCCCCTGAGCACTGCCCCATTTAATTTCTTCATTGGCAATAACATCTGATCTAATCCTCCAATTGGCTCCCTACTGTGCCCATTTTCCCCTGGAAAGATATGTGAAGTTATTCAAGTTTCCACCTGTTGCCTATTGAAGTCAGTTATGGGATCATCAAAATTTTCAGAGAGACACTCGTGGTTCTGCTATGATAACGGAACAGAAGGCAACCTATTTAATATATCTTAGAGAATATTTTAAAATTTAGTTTAAAAAAACTATTAATCACCAATAAAGAAACTTTCTGGAGAAATTGCTAATGCCCTTTTGTGCAAAATTCCTATAACACTAGAAGGACAATGGCGAGGAACAAAACATCACTGTGAGTACACCTTTTTGCCTTTTGCAAATGGTCAAAATTCCCATGTAAAATTTTATTAAAACTTTTAATACTGTAGCTAATAGAAACTTTGGTCAATATGCCAAGCAGCTAAAAAGTAACCCTAATCTCAGATGTAAGATTTCAATTTTGGGGACAATTTTGTTCTACTCTTCTCTGATCGGCGCTTCCTCTGTTTTGATTTGTTTTCACCCACAATGCATCCTTTAGCTCCATTGTAGCCCACACAATATCCATGGATATCAGGCTGTGAATGAAGACAGAAGCAGTTTAAACAAACCAGCCCCTTTCTTTCCTCTGTGTCTATTGTTGTATGAATGGGCCTTCTGCATTCTGCTGCTAGGAAACCACCTTTTTAAAGCCTAGCTTCAAAAAAGGGACAGACCCCCCAATAAAAATAAAGCAAAAATAGTTTTCCTGTTGCTTTGTTTAAGCAAGTCTTTTAAAAAACACCAAAATCCTGCAACAGCAGAATGTTTAAGGGCATGCATCTTTTTAGAAATATCCAATTCCTCACCTCTTGCATCAACGACTAACATCAAAACAGTCAAGCCTTTTCACATTGAGCCTCTTGTGCACTGAACTATTTCACCGGAAACCTTAACTAAATGTATAATTGCAATTAAAAATAACATCTGTAGGCATTATTTTATTGTTTCCAATGGAAGGGTAGAGAAAGTTGTTTTAGAGAAATACAATATGAAAGTAGTATTTACATCCAAAACAAAAACTATGTATGAACATCATGCAGAGCGGTCTTGGGCTCTTGCTCAGTTTCTATAAATTGCTGTAGCTGTCAGGGGAGATTTAACTTCCACGCTGTAGTGGCATGTAACAGAGACACACGTCCTTTTCCTAAAACACTACATGTTGTATTTGTCTTCTCGTCCGCCAGTTCTTTATGCTTTAGGGGCAAGGAGAGCGTCTGGTAGAGGGTCACGTGACCGCCGCCGATCCCGTCTTCCCGGGGAAAGAACCATAGAGACTGTTAAGTGTGCGCACGCTCCGTCAACAGCACTGCAAAGGGAAGCGCTTGAAAGGAAGCGTTCAGCGCAAACCCTTCATCTGGCTCTGAGTTGACCTCTTAGAATTCCGGCCTAGAATCCCGAGAGTTAAGAGACATAAGGTACAACCTTAAGGCTGCTGTCCTATTTTAGAACGTCAATTCCCTCC